AAGTAATGATGCTGAAAATACAGCTGCGCATCACAGAAATAAATGACATTTTAACAGATATTCACATAGAAAATAGATATTTTAAATGGTTATATTTTTTCACAATTTTTACAGCATGTTTGATCAAATAAATGCAGTCTTGGCTTGCAGATGAGATGCAGTACTGTATACACTCAGCTTTGTCAAACCACATTTCCCATGAGCCCCTCTCAATTCCTGCTTTCTGTGTGCAGCTTTATCAGTTCGAGGAATGCCAGCTGTGGTTTTCCCATGCATCCGAGTGGAGAAGTGTGCTTGTGTGTGACGCTGATGCAGTTTTTGGGTCTGTTCTGACCACTAGAGTGCAAGAAGAGCCTTCGGATGGAAACCACAAGAACACAATACAACCCAATCGTCCAGAGAGAAACACGCAGCCAAACCAAGACAACAAGAAGAGCTTGAGTCCAAAAACACACGCCCATCTAGACAGACACAAACTGTTTATAATGCTCAAACTCTGCCAAATAAGTTTCTGCTTTCAACTAACGGACAGCAGGACGAATCCTCCACCATCTGTGCTGCTTCAACAAAACAATAAGACACTGTGTGTGTGTGTTTGGATATAAATACTGTTCTCATCTGCTGCTCTTCTTATTAGATCAATGCGCCGGTTATTACGTGTGTTTGCAACAGTGTGTGTGTGTAGGAATAACATAAATTCACTATAATCTATCCACTCCAGATAAATAACCTATAACACACACGTGCACTGAGAACGGTGGATTAACCATAGATTATCATTCTCATAACTGTATTGATCTGCATGCATTATCAGGAGCATCACATGCATGACTCCGATATGATCATGTGACAGGAACTTATTGATTTAGACGGTGGGAATCAATCAAACCTAACATAATTTCATATGAAAATAACACTGATCTTTTACTGTTTAACTGCTTTATTATTTAACATGCTGAATCAATGCAGCACTGAAGATTATATCGTTATACATCATCATTGTGAGTTACTCTATGCAAGCGTGTGAATGCAAACACTTATGCAAGTTCAGTTTATTGTGTTGTTGCCACATCTGAAAAGTGAATGCTGCATTTTCAGCCCTGCCTCAAGAGGCGCTACAGCGAACATTATACAGTCTTTCAAAAGCTAAATGCATAAATGTACATTTTTTTAATGTTTTTGAAAGAAGTCTCTTCTGCTCACAAAAGCTGCATTTATTACAATAAAAACAGCAATATTGTGAAATATTATTACAATTTAAAATAACTGTTTTCTATGTGAATATACTGTAAAATGTAATTTATTCCTGTGACGCAAAGCTGAATTTTTAGCATCATTACTTCAGTCTTCTGTGTCTAAAGAAGAACATTTCCATCACATAATTAAAAGAATACTTTAGTGAATCATAATTATGACATAAAAAGCCAAACTGAGACAAAAATTCATAATTATGATATGAAAAGAATTATTGTCAACTGTTTTTTTGACTTTGTCTAATAATGGTGAACTTTTATGTCAGAATCTTGACTTTATCTCAATTATGATTGAAGCATGATTTTTTTTCATAATGTTGCGAAAGCATTATGCATTATAGGATCTTCAGAAATCATTATAATATGCTGATTTGCTGCTCAAAAAACATTTCTGATTATTATAAATGTTGAAAACAGTTGTGCTGCCCAATATGTTTTGTGGAGACTGTGATGCATTTTATTTTTCAGGATTCACAGATGAATATAAAGTTCAACTGCATTTATTTAAAACAGAAATCTTTCATTATAAATGTCTTTACTGTCACTTTTACATTTACATTTATTCATTTGGCAGATGCTGTTATCCAAAGCAACTTAAGAGCTGACTTTTGATCAATTTAATGTATCCTTGATGAGTGTTTAGTTCCCAAAAAATTCTACTGACCCCAAACTTTTGAATGGAGTGAAAGACTTCAGTGTGCTTCTGTCACAATGAGCAGCGGTTCTCTAAAGTCAAGAGCTTGTGTAGATGCAGTGAGCACTGAGGTGTAACTCACGGTGCTTTTCTGGCACTGGATGCTGGAGCTGTTGAAGCGCAGCGCCGTCACGCTCTGCGTCTCGCCCTGGATGTGGAAGATGCACTCGTAGTTCCTCTGGCCGGACTGAGGCTGTGGAAGGTTGCGGGCCGACAGCGTGATGGGCTTCGGGACGCCGACGGGGATGAAGATCTGAGTCGACGGCAGAATCTGAGGACAGTCCTGTGAAAACAAGACCAGCATCTGTTATCATCAGCTGACTCAAACACTTCTGGAAAGAGAAATCATTCTTATTGAAACAACAAAACACAGGAAGGACATCGAGCGATCAGTCGTCCAGACCAGCTGACATGTTTAACGTTTGTTTAAACAAGCCTGATGGGGAACATATGAAGCAACGTCACGCAAAGACCTGCAGGAGAAACGAGCTGGACGCCGAAATTATCTGGAGGATATCCCAGAATACCTCACTGCTCTTTTTGGTGTAAACCGTGATGCATTTTATTTTTTAAGATTCAAAGATGACTAGAAAGTTCAAAAGAACAGCATTTATTTGAAATATATATTTTTTTTAATTATAAATGTCTTTACGGTCACTTTTGATCAATTTAATGCATCCTTGCTGAATAAAAATATTATTTTATTTATTAACTTTTTGCATAGTAGTGTCTATATACACATTAAAAAAAAATAATTTAAATTTAATTAAAAAAAATAATTCTATAGATAATGAACAAAAATGTACATAAATAAAATATGTAGTTTTTCTTAATATATAAATCTTTTGTAACATTATAAATGTCTTTGCTGTGACTTTTGATCAATTTAATGCATCTTTAATGAACAAAAGTATTAATTTCAAGTCTTTCTGTCCTGAACTTTGAACAGTAATGCATTTACAGTGTGTGCTGGATACAGGCATGACGCTTCACATCAACAAGCACCGAGGATGGAAAAACAGGAGGACAGAAGACGGGAAGATGACACTCAATAGCTGCAGAACAGCTCTTATGAAACTATTTATGTATAAACACCATAAAAACAGTGTTACAGAGAATCTGATCGGAGAACAGAGAGAGAGAGGAGGAAGTAGTTATTCCAATCTGATAAAGAATGAGACTCATAACCTCTCTCTGAACGCCGCTGCTAAATGAAGCGGTGAAATGAGCTGTTAGTGCGGTGCGACGGAGCACTTATGAGATAAAGAGCTGGAAATCACCGGATTCCTCCAAGTGTCTCCATAGCCATTCCTCCTCAACTGAAGGAAACTCTCTTGACGTCGTTCTGATTTCACGAGTAAACTGACAGTATTTTTAGTAACAGCGCTGGTTTCCTGGCTTCTGCTTATTTAGCGTAAAGAGTGACCACAGCACAGGAAACCAGCAACGAGATGTTTTAAGGAAGGATGTTTGCTCATTAAAACACTCCAAAAATTCCACCAGGAACTCTACTTTTTTTTGAAGGGCTTCTGCAGAACCAAACCTGGAGCTTTATGTGGCCAAACAACAATGGCCGTACCAAGATATAGAGATTTGGTAGTGTTTTGGTCAGTCAAACAGAAGCACCTTTAGTCAAAGTAAACAATGAAACAATCATCCATAGAAGAGCGCATAGCACCATTTAAAAGACTAAAAAGATTTAAGCAAGATTTTCAGTAAGATGCATTAAATAGATCAAAAGTGGCAGTAAAGATATTTATAATGCTACAAAATATTTCTATTTCAAATAAAAGCTGTTCTTTTGAACTTTCTATTCATCAAAGAATTCTGAAAAATAAAATGCATCACAGTTTCCACCAAAATATGAAGCAGCACAAGTGTTTTCAACAGTGATAATAATCAGAAATGTGTCTTGAGCAGCAAATCAGCATATTAGAATGATTTCTGAAGATCATGTGACACTGAAGACTGGAGTAATGATGCTGAAAATACAGCTGCGCATCACAGAAATAAATTACATTTGAACAGATATTCACATAGAAAACAGTTGTTTTAAATTATAATAATATTTCACAATTTTACTGAATTTATCAAATCAATGCAGCCTTGGTGAGCAGAAGAACATTTATTTTAAAAACATTTTAAAAAATCTTACCAGTTTTGAATGGTTTTGTGCACAAACACAATTATTAACACTGCAGCAAAAGCTGCTCATAGATTATTGGTTTTACTTTAACTATGCCATACCTGCTCCTAAAATATCACATCTCCCGCCGTAAGACTTTAATATTTGTTCCGGTAAGCCGGGGCAGAGCAACCATATTCAAATCCTTCCAGCGGCACAAGAGCCATAAAATCCACTTTCAACACTGAAGAAAACAGCTTTGTGCAATAAATGGAAAATAAGCCGTAATACGACTTCAAGAAGCCCATCAGAAAGCCACTGATCATTCTCAAGTCAGTGTGCTGAACTAATTTAAATGTTTAAATTCAATTTATTTAAATTAAATGGCCTCATTTAAATATTTCCGAGTTAAATTGAACGGAAAGCAAACGTTGTTTAGATGTCAGAGCTCTTCAGTGTGTGATTACCCATCGACACACTCTCTATAGTGACCTCATCGGTCAAGGATCTGTTCCCTAGTGAGCCGCCGGTGCTGTCTACATAGGGAGCGTCTTCAAAGACTGCATCCTAACTAAAGTAGAGCCTCAACAGTGACTGATATGAAGAACACAAGACTCTACTAACAATTTAACATGAAGCTAAGCTGAAAACTGGATACTCAAAACATAAATACACAGCACACACAATTATTGGGTGAAACTGAATTACTTTTTCATATTAAATGAAGAAAGTCAACATTTCTCGAGGCTCTGTCTGCTGTCTTGGATTAATTTTTGCTGCCTTTAGGCTCCTTTGGGAACTTCCAGCCTACAAGTTTGGAAATGTGTGTTTGCTCGGTGAAATAATTGGATGCAATGGCCAAATCCATATTTGGTGCTCTCTTTTTCAATAACTGACAAAGACGAGAGAAGCTTTATAGTGCTAATTCAACAAAATGAAGAGCAAAGGGTGAGCATTAGGTGTGTAACTGATGCTTGGAGTATTTTGTTATTCTTGCAGTGGCAAAGAAAATGAATTGGTAAATGCAGTTGTGTCGCACAAGCTTGTCATCTCAAAATGCAATAAAACGAGGAGTATTTACTGTCACTTTTCATCAACAATAAACAATATTTGAATAAATTAATTATGCACAATTACAACTTATGTATTTTATCATTATCAATCCGTGTTGTTAATGTTAACTAAAACTAAAATCATTCTTTGTTAATTGAATTAAATCTAAAATAAAATATAAACATTAAATGAAAAAACAGAAATGTCACCTTGGCAACTCACTGAAATAAAATAAGTTCTACAACTAAAACTGAAAAAATAAAAATAAAAATTAAAAAATTAAAGCATTATAGCAATATTTAAAAAATAAAAAGTCATATAAAAAAAAATGACTAAAACATGCTAAAAGTAAAATTACAAATATAAAAATAAAAGCTACTTCTAAATATTAATACATAATAGTATATAAATAATATACATATTTAATGAAAAACTCTAGAAATGTAGAAATGTTGCCTCGGTAACTAACTAAAATAAAATTAATTGAAATAAAAATAAACTAAAGCTTAATAGACATATTTATAAAATCTATTTAAAAAATGACATTCACAAAACAAAATTACTCAAATTCAAACTAAAAATAAAACTACAAATTTAAAAATAAAGCTAATTCAAAATATTAATAGATAATATAATGGTATATATATATTAAAAAAAAAATTTGAATGAAACAATTAGAAATGTTGCCTCGGCAACTAACTGAAATAAGTTATAAAACTGAAACAGAAATAATAAATTAAAGCATAATAGAAATATAAAAAATAAATAAATGACATAAATAGTATAACAGCATAAAAACAATACTAGAATTACAATAATTCCAACCATTTTCCATCAGTCATGATTCACTAATTGACACGCGTCCAACTTCAAATCCAGAGTTTCCCCATCAGTAATCGTGGTGTTTCACACCTCAGAAATACCATCGTTCGCACCTGAATGCAGCGTGATTCATGACTCGCCGCAATGCATTCTGGGATTGCCTTTTCTGTGTAGGATACAATGAGAGCCCGCTTTAGAATTCGACAAAAACGAGTTATCTTACAAGACAGCACAGAGCTGCTGCCTATCTTTTGGACCAGCCTCCGCGTCAGGGAGCGCCAGTGAGGCCTAAAAATACTGTCTAGGTAGGCAGCACAGCAGCGTACGGAGCAGACACGCTAAAAATAACAAGTGATCCGTATAAATATAAAAGTGATGGAAGCGTGAGAGATGGCAAGAAGGTGTCGGCCAAGAACAAAGCCAGAGAAAGAGAGAGGGAAGACGAGAGAAGAAGTAATCACTCTGATAAAGTCATTTCTCTGCACCTCCCTCTCTCTCTCTCTTCTCCTCCTCTGGTTTAATTATTCAAAGTGGATTAGATCTGTTCTTCAGCTGCCCAATGCATCCCAGCGATGTATATTACATAGACAAAAAGAGAAAGAGAGAGAGAGAGAGAGAGAGGAAAGATAAATCAGGGTGGCGGATATGAACTGGAAAGAAAGGAGCGAACAAAGGCAAAACGAGCGAACAAAGCCGCAAACGACAGAATATCAGCATGCTAAAGCAGAGAATTGAGGGTAATAGGGTCAAAGATGATGCCAAAGACCATGTGACCCCGTTTTTATGGTCTCTCTGGAATGCAGATGCTGTAGTCATGACGACTGGTGTGTTTCACTCATAGACTGTATAAAAACATGGACGTAGTGTCCGTGACGTCACCCGTAGATTTCTGGAGAGCGTTTTTGAAGCTCAAAGTGGGCGGAGTGGGCCATTGCCATCTTGGCAGCGCATCACCGCACATCACTCCCAGATAATCGAAAATGGCGTGTTGGCTTCACGAGAGAGAGCGGGAGGTTGCCGCTTGGTTTCACTGCATGCGTGTGATAAAACTCCCTCACTTCAGTCTGGCACTCGACGTCTAGTTGTTCTGCGGCTCTTAAAAAAAAAAAAAACGAGTCAGGAAGATAAGAAAGAATCCTACACAAGGAACATCAGCGCGACGTGAACGAACAGACAGCGTATGTTTTAAAAATGAAGTGCGGACTCTTTCCGCCGCACTGATTCACATCTTTTCTGACTCAAAGCCTCTAACAGACGCCACCACTCATATATTCTGGCTTTGTTACGTGAATGGTGTAACAAAGCCACATGCGTGTGCAAAATTAAGTGCAGAGTCAAATCTGGCAGGTACATAAAATCACCAGTGACTTTATTACGAACGTCAGCATGATTTACATCCAACTATATGACATTAAAAACAAACGTCTCACCCTCACTGATGTAAGAGACTCAAGAGGTTCAAATCAAACACAAACCGTCCACTAATGTAAACTACTGTCACACCTTATATTTAGATTCACCGTTAGAAGCTTATCTAAGACCGGTGTTTTCATCAGGAGGTCAAGGTTCAGCTGGTTAGTCGGGTTCAGTTAAACCATTTCTCTCTATTGATGGTCATTCAAAAGTTGTAGACTATTTAAGATACTGAGGTCAATAAGAATTTTGTGAGAAATTAATACTTTTATTTAGCAAGGATGCATTAAATTGATCTAAAGTGACTGTAAAAACATTTATGTTACAAAGGATCTGTGAATCCTGAAAAATAAAATGAAGGATCATGTGACACTGAGGACTGGAATGATGAATGCTGATGAAAATTCAGCTTTGATCACAGCAATTAATTACATTTTAATATATATTCATATAGAAAACTGTTATTTTAAATTGTAATAATATTTCATAATTTTTTACTGTATTTTTCATTAAGTAAATGCAGCCTTGGTGAGCAGAAGAGACTAAAAATCGTTTGAATGGTCATGTAAATTCATTATATTACAGTAGACTGCGTGAAATGAACTTGCACTGGGATTTATTTAACAATTCTTTTTAAAACAATCTGCACTCATAAACATCCATTTCTAGCCAAATTAAATATTTTAGAGCTGGGCTATAGTGAAAATGAATATTTGCAAAAGAAAACAGCCACGACATCAAGACCTAGAAATCATAATTTTCAGATTTCCTCATAACAAATTTTCCCATGACTGAACATAAAAAAGCCAAATAATCCCATGATCATTTCTTCTTGAGGTCATTTTAAAAACATTAATACATTTTATATATATATATATATATATATATATATAAAACATCTGCCTAGTGTTATTAAAATTGGTAAAATATCATATAGGGGAAAAAAAAAACAATTTTCTTTTAAATAAAAATAATGCAAAATCTAATTATGTAGACGAAATACTTCCAAGGCACTCACATGGTAAGATAAAAAGCCTTTAATGACCTGGGCTTAAGTCATTATAAATAAATAAAAAATAAATGAATAAAAAATAAATATATACAAAAAAAAGTATTTCGTCTACATAATTTGATTTTTACCTCCATCACATCCAGTGAGCACCAGTGGCTATATAAAGACACCCGTGTAGCACTCTCTGCTTCTGGTTCTTGTAATAATGCAAAATCTAGTTTCAAAGCCAGTGATTTACACTTCACTGGCAGAATGCAAACAAATTTCAGGAAAAGATTTATACTGACGAACCCGCATGAACTCTGACTCAAACTTAGTCTATTATTTGTATAGGATCACGCAGGGATCTGATCGGCTGTGGAACCTTCCAGAACCTCATTGGACTGTATGATGTTCAGAAGCTGTCAGCGGACGGTTCGAGGGAAACTACAAGTGAGCGACGGCTCCACACGCCAATGCCTTTCGGCTCTTCCCTGCTTCTCTCTCGCTCAGAGCGCTGGGGAAACACGCTAGAGCCAGAACATCTCACTCACGTTCTCCCTCCACACATCTGGAGTCTATTAGAGGAAACCAGCGCGCTTCATCTGCTCTCCTACAGGCTTTTAAAACACTGAATTATGGGAGATTCCCGGCGGACTCGCACTCAGCCAATGAGCGAGCGGCGATGACCGGACTCTTATCTCACTCCTCTCGCTCGCTCCAGTACAGCAGATCAGGTTTCTCATGAGTGAGGAGGAAGCGTGAGCGATCACGCCAGAGAGATTAACATGCCGCGATGCATCAGCTTTCCAGTGTCACGCAGTGAGAGCGAGAACAAATCAATGACATCTCAGCCAATCAGAACATATTGCATGTTTAAACTCAACGTCAAATGCAGTTTGCAACCCGTTATACTCGCATCGTGTGATGTGTGACACTTGTCATGGGATGCATTTACAAACGTAACTGGATATTTAATGAGAAAAAAAATGGGCAGGACTTGATTTTATTTATCAGTTTTGATTGGATGATTTGAAAAGAATTTAACATTTACTTAGTACATGTTTTGAATTTGGGTTATTATACTTAACTAAACCAATAAAAAATGTCACTTGAAATAAAATGAACATTAACCATAATAAAAAAGAAAAGAAAAAAAACTTTCAGCTAGTTGCCAATGCAACATTTCTTATTTTAATTTATTTTAACTGGATAAATATTGAGAACTAAAACTGAAATAAAAATTAACACAAATCTGCACAGATATATAAACAAAAACTGCTAAAAAGGACAAAAACAGAAAACACAATTACTAAAACTATAACTGAAAAAAAAAATAAAAAATAAAAACGGATTCAAAATATGAATAAAATCTATAAAAGTATCTCAACAATACTGAAATAACATTGCTTTACATTTTCATAAGAAATCTTGAGGCTCTTTGCAAAAAAAAAAAAGCTGGATAAGAGTAATATAAATATTTACAATAATTATTAAAGTTTAATAATCAGTTACACTAGCTTCAAAAGTTTGGGGTATGTAGGACTTTCTTTTAAAGAAATTACCACTTTTATTCAGCAAAGATACATTAGTTTGATCAAAAGTGACAGTCAAGACACTCATAATGTTACAAAAGATTTCCATTTCAAATAAATGCTGTTCTTTTGAGGCTACTATTTATTCGTGAATCCTGAAAAATAAAATATATCACGGTTTCCACAAAAATACTTCACAGCACAACTGTGTTCAGCATTGATAATAATCAGAAATGTTTCTTGAGCAGCAAATCAGCATATTAGAATGATTTCTGAAGATCATGTGACACTGAAGACTGGAGTAATGATGCTGAAAATTCAGCTTTGCATCACAGAAATAAATTACAGTTTAACAGATATTCACATAGAAAACAGTTATTTTAAATTGTAATAATATTTCACAATTTTTACTGTATTTTTGATCAAATAAATGCAGCCTTGGTGAGCAGAAGAGACTTCTTTCAAAAACATACTGACCACAAACCTTTGATCTTTTGGTAATGAGCAGTGATATCTGGCTGTGTTTCTTACCTCTGACATGTTCACTCGTCCCTCCTGGAAGGAGCAGTCGTTGGTGTTCTGTGTGCACAAGTGTCTGTATTTACACCAGTGACACGGGAACGAGCCGTTCACACAGGACAAGCACCTGGAGAGATACAGAACAATACAGATGAGACACACAGAATCAAGCCAAAACACACATTACAGAGTCAGAAAGCACAGCGCTCCACACGCGTCCTTATTCTGCCCACGAAAGTGTGTGAAATAATAATAAAGATCCACTTTAGTAGGCATCTCCGGTTTAAGAAAGAAAGTGAGCGATGACAAAAAAAGAGAGAGAGAGAGATCAAAAAGAGACGAGGATTTCCCATTAAAACACGAGCAGAGTAGATAAGAAAAAAGCGAGAAAGCAGAAATCTGTGCCAAAAAAAAATAGTGCACTGACTTAGTACATAGGCAGCTGCCTACTTAGGGAACATACCAACTAAAACACAACCTTTTAGACCACTACATATAAATGAAAACTCCAAATCCACACACAAGTATTAGTGAAACGGCTCATTTTTAATTAGATTAAAGCGTCTCTCACTGACTCTGAAAGCATCTGAGGCTTCTGACTGCAATACAAAGTCATTTGTTTCAATTATTCAGTATTAAGTCCAGCAGATTGTTCACCCAGTGACATTAATCGATGCTGTCCAATCAGAGTTGAGAAATGATTGCCTAATGAAATCTGGTAACTTAAAGAGAGCAGCATACCACAATGCTTTTAACGTCTATGAGGATTTAATTGTGTTATTAGATAAATCGGAAAATTAAAAAAATTATGTTAACAAAAAAAGTTAATGAGCGATGACAAAAAAAGAGAGAGAGAGAGATCAAAAAGAGACGAGGATTTCCCATTAAAACACGAGCAGAGTAGATAAGAAAAAAGCGAGAAAGCAGAAATCTGTGCCAAAAAAAAATAGTGCACTGACTTAGTACATAGGCAGCTGCCTACTTAGGGAACATACCAACTAAAACACAACCTTTTAGACCACTACATATAAATGAAAACTCCAAATCCACACACAAGTATTAGTGAAACGGCTCATTTTTAATTAGATTGAAGCGTCTCTCACTGACTCTGAAAGCATCTGAGGCTTCTGACTGCAATACAAAGTCATTTGTTTCAATTATTCAGTATTAAGTCCAGCAGATTGTTCACCCAGTGACATTAATCGATGCTGTCCAATCAGAGTTGAGAAATGATTGCCTAATGAAATCTGGTAACTTAAAGAGAGCAGCATACCACAATGCTTTTAACGTCTATGAGGATTTAATTGTGTTATTAGATAAATCGGAAAATTAAAAAAATTATGTTAACAAAAAAAGTTAAAATATATCAATAAATATAAAAATTACTATTTTATTATTTTACCATTTTATTTACTATTTTATTGCTCTTTTATTAAAATTACTACTTTTATTATCAGATAAACCCGAAAATCATAATCGTAAAAAATCGTTTATATATACATACATATGAGAGAGAGAATATATAAATATATAATATAAACAGTATATAATGTAACAATAGATTTTTAAAATGCATATTGTAATTTTTAGATTCTTTTTTTTTTGCATTCAATAAATCTAAAAAATATAAAGCATAATATTGGTTAACAAAAAGTTTCTGTAAAACCCTAAATCATTCACAATAGCATGCTGTCTAATTTTATGAGCATTTTGAGTATTTTAACCAGCAGCGCTAAAGGATTCTGCTGCATAATTGTTGCACCTCTGAGTCCCGTGAGGAAACACAAGCACATGTGGTGGAGTGTGTGTGTTTGTGTAGGTAATGATCCCCCATCGAGGCACCATTTGTCAGTTTGTTAATGCTGCGTCTCCAGAGACACATAATCTGCTAATCAGCATGAATAAATCCAGAGGATGGCCGTGATGGAGAACAAATGGATGCAGGTGAAACACACAACATGTCTGAGATATGCAGGTACATGCATAAACAGATAAAGACAGCACAGACTGACTATCTGTAAATGCCACAATGCAATATTGCTTAGAGTAAGTCCATGAGGGACAGACGTTCATGTTTAACATGATGTACTGTTGTGTACTAGGTGTGGATTAGACTATAAAAGAAATTAATTTTTTCTTGCACTCTTAAAACTGAACTCTTCAAATGTATGGAAGCTTATTAAATATGAATAAGGTAACTGTGGTTAAGGTAAACGCTTCCAAACAAACTCTGGTACGGTTGAATGGGTGAACCAATGAATGGATGACCTTAAGCACACGTGTGGTTTTGTTCATAGTTTCTGGTTCACTTGCAAAAAGGGCAGCGTGAAAGCAAACCACACCAAACAAACAAAAAATAAAAAATCAACATTGTATTCGGTCCGGACCAAAGTAAGTGAACTAGCGGACTTTCCTGGTGTGAATACACCCGAATTTATTCAGAATTGTGAGATATAAACTCGCAATTCTGCAATTAACTGAAAAATAAACATGCAATTGTGAGAAAAGTCTTCATTGTGAGATATAAAATGATTATGAAAGTAGTCTGAATTATGAGATATAAATTCGCAATTCTGAGAAAAAAAGTTTGAATTGAGATATAAATTCGCAATTGTCAGGAAAAAAGTCTGAATTATGAGATATAAATTCGCAATTCTGAGAAAAAAAGTTTGAATTGAGATATAAATTCGCAATTGTCAGGAAAAAAGTCTGAATTATGAGATATAAACCCGCAATTGAGAAAAAAGTCTAAATTATGATATATAAATTCGCAATTGTGAGAAAAAGTCTGAACTGAGATATAAATTCTCAATTGTGAGAAAAAAGTCTGAATTATGATATAAATTCGCAATTGTGAGGAAAAAAGTCTGAATTATGAGATGTCTGAATTGAGATATAAATTCTCAATTGTGAGAAAAAAGTCTGAATTATGAGATATACATTCGCAAATGTGAGGAAAAAGTCTGAATTATGAGATATAAATTCGCAAATGTGAGGAAAAAGTCTGAGTTGAGATATAAATTCTCAATTGTGAGAAACAAGTCTGAATTATGAGATATAAATTCTCAATTGTGAGAAAAAAGTCTGAATTATGATATATAAACCCGCAATTGTGAGAAAAGTCTTCATTGTGAGATATAAAATGATTATGAAAGTAGTCTGAATTATGAGATATAAATGCGCAATTCTGAGAAAAAAAGTTTGAATTGAGATATAAATTCGCAATTGTGAGGAAAAAAGTCTGAATTATGAGATATAAACTCGCAATTGTGAGAAAAAAGTCTGAATTATGAGATATAAATTCGCAATTGTGAGAAAAAAGTCTGAATTATGAGATATAAATTAGCAATTGTGAGTAAAAAGTCTGAATTGAGATATAAATTCTCAATTGTGAGAAAAAAGTCTGAATTATGAGATAAATTAGCAATTGTGAGAGAAAAAAGTCTGAATTATGAGATATAAATTAGCAATTGTGAGTAAAAAGTCTGAATTGAGATATAAATTCTCAATTGTGAGAAAAAAGTCTGAATTATGAGATAAATTAGCAATTGTGAGAAAAAAGTCTGAATTATGAGATATAAACCCGCAATTGTGAGAAAAATGTCTGAGTTATGAGATATAAATGAACAATTATGAGAAAAAAAGTCTGAATTGTGATATAAAGAATTGCTAGAAAAAAGTTTGAATTATGAGATATATATTCGCACTTGTGAGAAAAAAATCTGAATTATGAGAAAGAATTACGAGAAAAAAGTCTGAATTATGAGATAAATTACGAGAAAAAAGTCTGAATTATGAGATATTAACTCACATTTTGAGAAAAAAAGTCTGAATTATGAGATATTAACTCACATTTTGAGAAAAATGTCTGAATTATGAGATGTAAAGAATCACTAGAAAAAAGTCTGAATTATGAGATATAAATTCACAATTGTGTGAAAAAAGTCAGAATAATTAGATTTAAATTCACAATTGTGTGGAAGTCTGAATTATAAAATATAAACCCGCAAATGTGAGAAAGTTATAAGAAACTCGTAATTGTGAATAAAAAAGTCTGAATTGTGAGATAAACTCACAATTATGAGAAACAAAATCTAAATTTTGAGATACAAACTCGCAATTGTAAGAAAAAAAAACCCTAAATCACAGTATAAGATATAAACTCACAATTGTGAGAGAAAAAACCCTCTAAATTACAGTATAAGATATAAACTCACAATTGTGAGAGAGAAAAAAATTCTGAATTGTGAGATCAGGCCTTTCCAAAATATTTCCAGTGGATAATTTCCATATAAATCTTCGGGTATAAAATTCAGACCCAGAGCCTTAAAACAGCACTACATAATAAACAGACTGTCATCCATTCATCACTGGTTTACACTTTTAGCTTATTTCATCAAATCTGCCGTCTATCCTGACTGAGGTCCATTTGGTTCCAACTTGTGATTCTTTTTTGTATTTTCTTTCTCCTGCATGTTTTCCCTCAACCCATTACCAATTCAATTTAAACTACGCAATCCGGTTCACTTAAAGCAGAGATTTCTTAAAATAAGTGGTAAGAAGATAATAAATGTGACCTTATTTTTCTTCCTGACCCCTGCACCAATCCCGAGAGATGCTTTAATCCCCGTCCCGTCTGGAGTGGGGCTGATTGAGGGTGTCTCTGGTTTAAGCCCCTCACGCTGAGCTCTCTTCCCCCACAGACGGCCGATGATTTCAGGGCGTCCCTGATCAGCGATCAGCATAAACCCCCACACGCGCTGGAGGAGTGGAAATCTAACACCGGGACGCTCATTTCCTTTACTCACATTCATTAAGATGCTGGGCTGTTCTAAAGCCTCCTACAAAAAGGACACCGAACACCTCCGATAGCCCTCATCACGGACAAACTCCATTTGGGTGAAACTCACAAAAAAGTGGCCAGCTCATATTTCTCCTCTAAAAGAAACGAGATAAGAAATTGTATTTTATATAAAGAAAATGAAGCATGCTTTTTTTAAACCATTAAGATGTTTTGCATTGCAATTTGATTGTTTTCATGAAAATTAGGAATTTTTTCCTATATTCTCATTATCAATGCAAATTAAGCACAATTTTCCCAAATTCTCATACATGCAAAATGTAACTTTTGAGTTTTGCATAGTTATTTTCCGTCTTTTTAAAAACTTTATTTGTAAGAAACAATGTAATTATTTGTCCAAAGACAATACTTTATATAATTTAAATAATTATAATACTAATTTATATATGAAGAGTTTATTTGCAAAAACCGATAAACGCCACTTAAAAAAAAAAAAAATAGAACTGAGTGCCATGCATTATTCTCCACATAGAGCACGATCTGAACCCTAAACACGTTTAGTCAAAAAAAGCCTGTTTTGTCCACTTTCAAGGCATCGCGAGTTCACATTTTACTGAAGAAGCCGACAAGCGCCCTTGCTGTTTGTGAACAGAAGCCGATAAGTCCATTTTAGCGAATCAGCGCGCTGTATTCAGGTCAGGTGACAAGGCTACTTTCACTTTGAAAAGACGTGCTAGCTGAGAGGAGTTTCGTCAAAGCTGACTAAAAGTGATCGAGGATGGATAATTTCGACGAACTTGATGAACCTGTGATATCTTCTTCAGGGTGAAAAAGGAAAATAAAAGCTGAAACGTTTTCACGGAAGCTTGCAAAAGCAGCGCGTTACAATGGTGAGGGAAAAGCTCCCTCACCATTAAAGTGATTTCTATATTTTATCCATTTAAAAGACTACAAAAGCGATCCCAGTTCTGCGCATAAACCTAGCGCGATATATTTGTGTCTATGGTTAGCTGCGCAATGTCGTCTTTTGTGATTGGCCCTAATACCTGCACACTGCAGCCAATGGAAATGCTTCTCTATCAGTGCGCGTGCTGCTCCTCACAGCACACATCGTGAAAGCAGACTGCAGTTTGTCATTCATTGTAACAAACAAAGTGTAGAGACAATCTAAATAATAGATTCAGTGTGCAGTGTAGGGAGCTTCACAATAATTAAAATGGACAATTTGTGAGATCCCGATGTACTAAGACAAGTGACAGCTTTTAAATTATTATAAAGGGAGTTTGCAAATGTGAAATTGAACTTACAACAGTTTTATACATTTATAATTTTATACATAAGTTAATATTAAGTGACTTACATTTTAGGAACACTGTTGTCTGATTGTGCTCTATTTCGTCAACGAAAATAGTTCCAAACAAAGTCACAGCTGAGCTGCTGTGCATCTTCAAGCAAACACTGCGTGCTGTTTCGTTTATGAATGAATCTGCGTTTTTGAACAAATCTAGTGAGTCAATGTTTCAATGACCCATTCATAAAGAGAGTCACCTTTGCTTCATTCCTAAATGAATCAGCCGTTTGAAAGAATTGATTGAATTAATGATTCAGTGACAAAGACAGTGACTTGCTGCCACCTACTGGCGGTTTCAGTTTTATTAAGTATAAATTGAGTCATTTAAATTGTTTAATATTTCTTAATTTCATAACATTGTTATTATGAAATGCATTAATGCCACCTCCGAGTCTTGTCAAAAAAGTCTGTAAATATTCCTTAATGCCACATTTGTGCTTATCTTTGCTGTGCAAAGATGAATTGTTGATGCTGATTTCATTTGACTAGTAACTTATTCTTCCTGATTGTATCTTATTATTTTAACTGAATTTATTCTTTAATTAAAATTTTTGATAAAAGTTTATAAATCTAATTTTTTTTTGGCACAAAAGATGACATACAATTAATAAAGTTAGAAGCATTACAAAGGTTAAAAAAACCTTTAAGGAGTCAAATATTGCCTTATATTAGTAAGGTTAATTTCTGTCATTGATCAGAAGGTGTTCCTAATTTTTTTATTATTTTTTTTAAGTAGGAGCACAAGTGCTCCTGAAAAGAAATGTAAGCGGTGTAGAGAATGTAATGTTACCTTTTAAAAACTAATTGCAAACATTTATGCAAAGTGCAAACTATTAAATATAATCTACAAATCACGCAATAGCCTACTGTACCACTAAATAAGTGTTTTGAGGGCTTAGCTAAACAGGCCAATTAGAAACAATTACTAATCATTCAGATTTTTTATTAAATCACCTAGATTTTTGATTGTGTTCCTAATTTTTATTTTTTTTTTAAACAGGAGCACAAGTGCTCCTAAAAAGAAATGCAAGCGTAGAGTCGTTTTACAAACTAATTGCAAATGTTTATGCAAAGTGTAAACTATTAAATATAATCTACAAATCATGCAATACTGTACCACTAAATAAGAAGTGTTTTGAGGGCTTAGCTAAACAGGCCAATTAGAGACCATTAATAATCATTCTCATGTTTTTATTAAATCATTCTTTCATTTCACTAATCAATTTTTTTTTTATTAAACACAAGGGGTTATTAATGATGCTTACATTATAACATGTGCAAATTCACACACAACTAATCTTTAATTTGGCCAGAATTGCAGGTGCCTGTCTTAACATCCACGAAGGTTTAGAGAAAATATGAAATAAGTTTGATGTTATTATAGATTATAAAGGGTTTAATAATTAAATACATCCGAAAGGTCATCTAAAATTATCATTAGCCCCCCCCCCCTTCCAAGCTAGAGTCCCACAGTGAATTTTGGCCATTTCCACCATTGATACACACGCACACACTCACACACGCACACAATCACACTCACACTCACACACACACACAAATAAATACATGTAAACAAAATAATTAAATATAAACAAATAAATTAATATCTTTACTTTCAATAATAATTCTTAACTATCATTGTTACAATTCTTTTTTTAAATCAGCTAAAATAAAGGTAGTACAAAAGTATAATACATTTTAATTGAAATCACTTTTTGCAATAAAGTGATGAAAATAAGATTTTTTTTTAATACATTAAGAATTTTTTTATTCTAAAGAAAAAGCAGTATGTAATGAAGAATAAATTGAGTGGAAGAAATTAATATTGTTTAAAAGTTATGAAAATATTGCAACAAAAAAGGGCTCAAAAATAGGCTTCATTTTTAATTTGCAAAAAAAAAAAAAAAAAACGAAATCTTATTTCTTTCTTTTGATTTTAATATAGCCTGGAAATGTTCTTGACATGTTTTATGAAATTCACACATTTCCTCTTGCTTTATTTCTTTCTCATCTACACAAAGCTTTGACAATGTCCATAATAACACTTTATTATCCAAAATACAGTCCTCTAAATTGCAGTTGTGCTTTTAGAGATGTGGACGCATTGAATAAAGAAGCATGTGATTATCCAATTATGATAATACTCATATGTAGTGTGTATTTTTCAAGTACACAAGCTGGTCTTATCAGAGAAGAGCAGTGTGACCTAGTTTTAAAGCTCACTGCTGATGGGGTGTGTGTGTGTGTGTGTGTGTGTGTGTGTATAGGAAGGTATTGTGTATCTGAGATGCTGTTACTCTGAGAGGTGTGTGTGTGTGTGTGTGTGTGTGTTATATCTCTAGAGACAGCTTTGGGCTCATCTGTCCTGCAATAAGACACTACACAGACCTCCCAAAAGAGTCCGGACCCATCTGGAGCGTCTTAGAAGTACACATGACACACAAATTCATTGAGATGTTCAGCTGGGGGTCCCACTATCTGCAGGACTCTAACTGCAGTCTGTTTTCAAGAGAATAACTGTCAATCAACACGCCACCGGTTGCTGTGGCAACAGAAATTTGACCCCACCCCCCTGAGTGATGAGGAGCTTGTGGGTAAAACGAGAAGAGCAGAGATAAAGAGAGGGAGAGAGAGAGCGAGAGAGAGAGAGAGAGAGAGCGAGAGACACTCACGATCTGTGGATGCTGCAGTTGTAGAACGTGAAATCCACACTAGCAAATTTCTGCCCCGTTTCCCTCGATTTCAGATACAGCTTCACCACATGAGTGTCTCCTTCAGAGGGACAAATAAAAGAGAAAAGAGGTTAGTCAGATCTCTGCCTCTTGATGAAGAACAGCAGAACCAGCTGCTATCTAAACACTCATGTGTAAGGAGTCTTTCCACTTAACTGTGGTAAAATCACTGAACTCTCCAGTGGCTTGTTGCTTTTAGAACATCACAAACAATGTAGTGCATTAGTGCTTTTTGCATTAATAAAGTATTGTTTAGACACAGGTTTGTGTTTTCTGCATAAAAAGGTTTTGAGTTTAATCAAGTCTACAGCTGCATCCCAATTCACATCGTTCGATTCATTACATTAAAATATATTGTTTTTAGATTCATACATTAAGAAGTGTTATTGCGCAAATAGCCCAACATTCATCACCAATTAAAATTTGTAATCAGTTATTTTAGTGTGTTTTTATATTTTGAATTAGTTTTTATTTTTATATCCTCCATTTTCATTTTAGCTAACTAAAATTTGTAATCAGTTATTTTAGTGTTTTTATATTTTGAATTAGTTTTTATTTTTATATCCTCCATTTTCATTTTAGCTAACGTTTTAGTAATGTTTTTTTGTGTTTTTGTATTTAATTATTATAATTTTTTTATTGTTATGTCTATATAGTTTTTATTATTTTTTTATTTCAGTTTTAGTTTTAGTTCTTTTTCTCACCAAATGAGAAATGATGCTCTGGAAACTAGCCAAAATAAAAGTTTTTTAAATTTTTAAATTGCTCATTTTATAGCAGTTAATATTTATTTAATTTCAAGTAATGAAAACATTGTTTTATGGTTTTTAAATTTAATTTACTATAATAACCCTGCTGTTCAATACCCAGACACCTTCAGCTTACTATTTTTGTACTAACACACTATGATTCAGGACTAGAAATTTTAAATAACGGAAATGTTGCCATTTTGATGTCACTTAATTATTTTTGTCTTATTTTTTTCTTTTAAAAAGTTCCCTTTTGTGCTGATTCTCAAGCTCAGACAATTAAAAAAACATCAAACATCAATAGCAAACAGCTTTGATGCAGCATTTCAATTATGCAGACATATTCAGCAACAGAATGCATATTTTCCAGAACCATTAATGCAATCAAACATTACAAAAACCACTCAGTTTCAGTATTTTTCCTTAATGCAACCGGATCTTGAATAAGAGCTGCTTCTAAATCTCCAATCCTATCTGGGACACAATAATCCCTCAAACTATACAGGACAGATATGATGACGATCTGAAAACAAAACCACTGACTGAATCTGTGGAACAGACTGATGGTGTTATATAATAATCATCATATACTGATGTTACTCGTGATCTTCAAGACTCTTGGTTGTAATGGCTTCTGCTGCAATGCTTCTAGTGAGCGCTAGTGTGTATGATCTAGCAGTGTGTGTTTACTGACTCTGCTGGCGTGTGATGGGGGCGAGCTCTTTGGCTGACGGCGAGAGGCAGTAGATCTGCGATCCGTGTATTGTTCCTTCGGTCTCGGTGTAATCCTCGAAGGAACAGTCCACCCCTGCGGAAAGATCCGGGACGTTGCGGGCCTGCAGGACCAGCTGGCAGACCGATGGAGAAAACAGACAAAGTGAAAAAGTTTGGCCCATGTCCCCATAATTCATCTGCTTGTTTTTAAAATACACTCTACATGACATCTGCTGCTCCATATTGCTGCGTGTCTGCTAGCGCTCCATATAGTGTACCGCTCCTCAACATCTATGAAGAGGTGACAGATACGCAGTGCTGTGCATCTACTCTAATTCACACAGACACACACACACACACACACACACACACACACACACACACACACACTCACAACACACACACACACACCTGGACTTCAGCCATGGTGACGGAGATGTTGTTGGGCTGGACCGTGAGCTCCACACACTGATCCACTCTGGAGGTGAATCTCTGCGGCTCATCGGCTCTCTCACAGCGATCACGGCGAGAACAACTGACGACAGAGAGGAATAAACTTACATTTCTACAAAACTTCTTCAACACCCTTGAGTGGTTCAGAGTGTTAATAAACTTTAGTATAATCGACAACGAGAGAAAGTCTGTGTAAACTGAAGGATTCCTTCATAAACATTCATTTCCTCCACAGGGATTTCAGAAACATTCTTCAATAAAGAGTTCCGAGCCATGAACCAAACAGACCAGCTCCCTGATGAATCATAAATAAAAATGGAATTTTAAGCAAAAAAGCATATGAACCTGAGACAACGTGAACTCTAATTATTTACTTATGTGGCAAGTAGCCGTGTAATAAGCAGGATAATGTACATCCAGCCGGTTGTTATCTCAGAATAAACCCTGACAGGACCCCGACGTGAAGCGTAATTATTTACTTATTTACATAAGTAAATAATTAGATGCGAAATATTGATTTGAGCTGAAATATTTGAACGCAAAGCTTCCATGAAGACAGCAGTTGCGAGCAAGCGGCAAATTCAAACTAGACGGACATTTAAGGGAAACGGTGCAGTCAAACCACTTATTACACAACATTTCACCACAAAAATAATTAAGGCAATAAAAGAATTAAGACGAAAATGTTTTAAAACCGTACCAGTTTGTTAGTTCTTGCTTGTTATCGAGGGATAGCATACCTCGGAATGTCGCGACTGACCAATCAGAATCAAGTATTCCACAGAGCCGTGTAATAAACAAAGATTAATAACTTCTGTAGCAAATTGTGAATGTTAATGCATTAACTAAGGTTAACTAATGAGATCTTATTGTAAAGTGATACCTATTGGTCTTTATAATTCTTTTGCACTTTAATCTGTGTAAAATTTTTAACTTTATACATTTTTTGTGTATTGCTTTATTGTATTTAAATGTTCAGTTATTTTTGTTATAAGAAAAAAGTTATTAAAGGGGTCATATGATGCTGCTAAAAAGAACATTATTTTGTGTATTTGGTGTAATGAAATGTGTTTATGCGGTTTAAAGTTAAAAAAACACATTATTTTCCACATACTGGACACCGGCCCTCCAGGACTGAGTTTGGACAGCCCTGTGTTATACTGTATTATGACAACACTTTTTACTTTTATAATGCAGCAACACTGTGAACTTTTATAATGATACGTTTGGTCATTGACTTTTACATGCATCGTTATGCAAACACAAGAGCAGAGTTCTCGGCACGATAGACCCGCGACTGGCAGATCAGCGTGCCTCTTATTTCTCTCCAATACGATAGGAAATTAAATTAATTGAAATATGGATCATGTTAACTTTGACAAGATTGACGGTGCAGTTTAAACGGTGACAGGATGCATGTAACGAAGCAACAGAGCATCTGTTAAAGACGTAATAATGACGAAGTAGTATGTCCCAAAGCTTGCCTACTATTCTGCTACATACTCAAAAGTATGTACTTTTTCTTTACAAAAAAGTACATACTTTTAGAGCATAGTATAAGTAGGCGAATTGGGATGCAGCAATTAGGTTATTTGCAATTTTTTAAGGAAGTGGGCGGTCCCTATTTGTCATCACCATGGTAACAGTGACTTACTTCCTTACTGGGAATTTGAAACTAAATATGTTTTAATGATGCGGAAATCACAAACTTCTACAGACGCATATAATCATCACTGTGACCTCAGTGTTCAGCCAAGTTTACGTTACTGTTAAAATAATTCTCTCACTATGGAGAAAATAAAAGGGGTTTTTACATCTGGAAGCTGACTTTTGCACTCCTCTGGCATTTACTGTAGATGTAACATGGGAAAACCATTTAAACTGCTTGCAAAACTGCTGCTTTGTGGGTAAAAGTGTGGTAAACTTGTGGCACAGGACTATTTGCTGCTAATGTTTGCCAGGAGGTGTTGAGTGTTTGCTGGAACGCGAGCCGAGCGCTCAGACATGAACACACAGACTTCACCGATCCCTGAAAGGCAAACGCAGACATCTAAAGATAAAACTGACATCTCAATCTTCAGGGACTACAGCTGAAAGTGACGGTTATTGCAGAAGAGAGGACGATGGGAGTCTTTTTTGGCTTTTAATTATTTTTTAAGCACAGTTCAGTTCTGAGATCCTGCTAATGTTTCTCCCGTGAGTGAGATCAGAGAAGCCTCAATGACCCGTTTATGTGAAACATAATGAATATTTCTACAACGTCTTTATTCTGTAGCCTGAGGAAGCGTTTGATGAACTGATGTGACAAAACACGGTAGATGGTGGTAAACCACATGCAAACACACAGACGCTCAGAAAACAAGCCCAGGGTGACAAATCAAGAGTTTTAACCCTCTAAAGCCGGACACGTGAAATAATAGTTCAAATTTTTTATTTGCATTTTTTTTTTTTTTGTGGAAGTTTATTAAACTTAAAATAATTTTATTTATTTATTTGCTCATTTAATTATTATTACTACTTTTATAATTTTTTTTTAGCATCACATCTGACCCATCAGGCTTTTATGGCTCATATAGGATGAAGGGAGACTCAAACTGAGCAAAAATTAGCATTTCGGTGCAGATGCTGATATTTATATGATGAAATTCTGATGCTTGTAATGTAAATCAATGAGATCAATGAGAACAGCGTAACAGATAATTACATAAAATGATATAAATATCAGTCATCACTCTATATCTCCAATAAAATGTCTTTAAATGTTTAGTTTGAGGATCAAAACACAATGCAATGCAATACAATGATGATTGAGAGATGAACAAACGTTCCTCAAAAGCCTGATGATCAAATTTGATACTGATATATCATGGATAATCAAGTAAAACTAAGCAGCTTCAGTGTTCATCTGAAAATATTACTAACAATATCAAACTTATTCTTATGTTTACTTGATAAAAAATCAGTAAAGATTTGGCAGCAAAAAGACATGAAGCACCAGCTGAAGGAGAACTGTGGTACATTTAACTTGCTTAAGTTTAAACTATCACTCCGACGACAGAAGGCATGGAGTGGATTGTGTGCAACAGGTTTAACAGTAAAGTTTTGATCATGTTGGTCATTTAGAGGCCTTATAAATTTGTATATCAAATATGATACAGCAGGCTTATATTCAACTTATTCACATCTGTCAAATTATATCCAAAATTCAGACTGGTTAAAGGAAATGTGTGTTATGAAGATATCTGTACGTGTGTGTGTGTGTGTGTGTGTGTGTGTTTGCGCACACACACAGTCAAATCTGAGAAACACTGCAGTCATACAGCACATCTGCGACCAAATCAAGAGACGCTGCAAGCCAGAGACAAGCGCTGGAGTGTGAGAAACATGCTTGCTGCTGTCTGTGTGTGTGTGTGTGTGTACATGTGTGTGCGTGTGCATATGGAAAACACAGAATCAGCTTATCACACGCTGCGCCATCTGACAGTTACCACGGAGATCAGCGTTTGATTGACAGGAACCCTGAAGCCCTCCTGCTGAAAACAGAATAACATCAGTGTGTGTATGTGCATGTGTGTGTGTGTGTGTGTGTGTGTGTGGAGGAAGAGGAAGCAGAGGAGAGATGGAAGGAAGGAAAGGAGGAAGGACACAAGAACAGAAAAAACAGTAAACGAGTGAAACAAAGAAAGATAAAACTATGAAAATACAACAATTAAAAAAAAAAACAGTTGAATGAAAACATGAAGTAAAATATTGAAGTAAAACTTTAAGTAAAAAATAGTGAAATAGTGTGAAATAAAAGAAACTAAACTATGAAAGTACAAAAATGTATGAACAAAAACAAAGAATGAAATGAAACAACAAAAAGGAAAGAAAGAATGGAAGTACAAAGTGCAAAAAGCATAAAGAAGAATATGTGAACAAAGTTTCTAGAAAATTATATAGAAAAGAATGCAAAAAAAAATCAATGAAAGAAAGAACTACAATGTAAAAAAATAAAAAGAACAACTTTCAGATGGCAAAAAATGAGTGAAAAAAAGAGTCCAATAATGAATAATAAAATGTATTAAATTAAAGTACAAAAACATGAAAAAGTCCGAACAAAGTATGAAAAAGAAAGAGGATGAATGGAAGTATAAAATAAAAAGCAAAAGCATAAAAAATTAAATGAAAAAGAAATTGAACAAATGAAAGTATGTATGAATTTAAGTGTGAGAGAAAAACAACTGGCAAAGACCAAGTTCATCAGTTCATGTGTGTCGGATGATAATAACTGTATCAAGTTACATCTGAAGGCAAATATAAACTCAGAATGCATGATGGGAAATACCAGCCTATAAATCCACCCTAACAACACACACACACACACACAAACACACACACACACACACACACACACACAGTAAGTCAGTCAGGTGTGAGTGGTCATTCACCGAGGACTATCAGTTTACAGAGTGAGGAACAGTGATGGAGGGATGAAGACGAGCAGAGAGGAAGAACAGATGGTGAGGATGACGGGGTCAGGTGTGTGTGTGTGTGTGTGTTTAGGGCACAGGAGCTGCTCTGTGAAACAAGTTGACCATATGCAGCCTGTCAGTGTGTGTGAAAATATACAGCGTAAAAGAACAAAGAAAATGAACATGCAATAAATGCCAACACCTCTTGATGCAAGTTCAATATTAATTTGTCATTTTAATACACGTTGAAACCCATCATGTAACACACACACGCTCGTGAGCAGCCGCCAGCGCCGTTCATCTGATATTCAGTGTGTTAAACTGCAGCCTGCAGCCAAAACAGACACAAATGAATCCAAGATAAATGACACGCACAAACACACACAAACACACACACAAACAACACCTGATAATAGAGCGAGTCAAAACACACACACATTCTGAGAGATGAGGGAAAACTCAGAGCCTCAGGCATCAAACGTCAATCAAATATGTGACACAATGATGATGTGTGTAACATGAACACACACACACACACACACACACACACACACACACACACACACGGGTGATCTCTACATCAGCCTCTATATCTCAGACAAAACAAACTACGTTATCAGGTAATGTGCGAAATTATTGTGTTGGAGTAAAAACAAACTTTCTCAGTCAAAGGTTTTCATCATAAAACATACAAAACATAATATATGTTTTTGGAAATAAATATGAATAAATACATGCACACACACACTACCATTCAAAAGCTTGAGCTTTTTTTAAACACTTATTCATCAAGGATACATTTAAATGATCAAAAGTGACAGTAAATACATTTATAATGTTACCAAAAAATTATATTTCAAATAAATGCTGTTCTTTTGAACTTTCTATTCATCTGTGAATCCTGAAAAATAAAATGTATCACGGTTTCCACAAAAAATATTGGGCAGCTCAACTGTTTTCAACATTGATGATAATCAGAAATGTGTCTTGAGCAGCAAATCAGCATATTAGAATGATTTCTGAAGATCATGTGACACTGAAGACTGGAGTAATGATGCTGAAAATTAATTTACATTTTGAATTAATTACATTTTAACAGATATTCACATAGAAAACAGCTGTTTTAAATTGTAATAATATTTCACAGTATTACTGCTGTTACTGTAATTTTGATCAAGTAAATGCAGCCGTGGAGGGCAGAAGAGTCTTCTTTAAAATAAATAATAAGTAAATACACACTTATTAATCGCAAATTTTGAATGTAGTGTATATTTTGCTATAAACATGAACAAAAATATTTTGTTTTTATAGAAAATTACTATAAAATGTATAGCTTTATACTGTAATGTGGCTTTTTATTCAACTACGATTTGCAATTCTTTATGGGAGGAAGAAGTTTGTTCTGTCACAAAGGAATTAAAATTCTAAATGATAAATAATGATTTTTCTTTTTTTTTTTATTGGTTTAATTGGTCCATTTAAACTAACACTGATCCAGTGTGAAAGCTAAAGCATGTGTTCATACTAGAAGATCGTGTGCTGTGTGAACGGCCCTAATGCAGAAATGAGAGAAAAATGAGAGAATTACTGTCAATGTGTTTTAGTAAAAACATCTCAACCAATCAAGAGGCTTTTAATACTGCAGTAAGACTGGATGATTCACTCGCTGCTGATATGAAGGATTATGGGATTAACTTTGCTCCAGATGATCAATGATTCGATTAGACAGAACAAAAAGGTTAAGACTTTAAAACACATGAGCTTAACCACACACACTCCTGTGCATCCATGTGATAACCTTCATCACAGCTCCTCTTTATTAAACCACAACTCTTTCATTCAAGACGAATCATCCATTTAAGAGCCCACGTTCTACACTTTTATCTTTTATTTCATTCCTCATTTATAATGTCAGTCAAGGTCTTTTGCTACTGCACCTTTAAAGGGGTCATATGATGCTGCTAAAAAGAACAACACTCCAAAGAGAAAGGAAAAATTGAAATCGCATCATATGACCCCTTTAAGACTTCTATATGCAAATGACTCTGATCTGATTTGCTAACCTCTACACACCTGCATATTTCACGCTGCTGTTTGAGTAGATTCTGAGTAGCACAAAAGCAGTCATAAGTAGCACGGGTATATTTGTAGCAATAGCCAACAATACATTGTATGGGTCAAAATTTCTTTCAGACGAATCCAATCGGAGTTATATTAAAAATTGTCCTGGCTCTTCAAAGTGTTATCATTGTAGTGGACGGGTGTTTCTGTTCAACAGTCCAAAACACGTCAAATAAAGCACGTGCATCCATAATAAAACGTGCCTCACACAGCTCCGGGGGGGTGAATAAAAGCCTCCTGTAGTGAATCAATGCGTTTTTGTAAGAAAAATGTCCATATTTCAAACGTAATAAACACTTCTCTCTCACTTCCTCTGACTGTTGTACGCGGAAACATTCCGGCGGATGACGTAGGACGTATGCGTCGCGCGCCTCTGAGATATGCTAGTCTCACGAGTTTGTTTACAGGAGCAAAAGAAGCAAAGTTTCCTTACTTTAGCAAAGGAAAACTAGTCTCCTCTCTTCTTATATTGAAATCCTCCGACATTTTTCTTTACAAATCCTCAGTACTTCTAATTCATGACCGGCATTTTGTTTTGTTCTCTCTCCACATTCGTCACTAATCCAGCAACGCCTCCTGGCTCTTCAAAGTGTTATCATTGTAGTGGACGGGTGTTTCTGTTCAACAGTCCAAAACACGTCAAATAAAGCACGTGCATCCATAATAAAACGTGCCTCACACAGCTCCGGGGGGGTGAATAAAAGCCTCCTGTAGTGAATCAATGCGTTTTTGTAAGAAAAATGTCCATATTTCAAACGTAATAAACACTTCTCTCTCACTTCCTCTGACTGTTGTACGCGGAAACATTCCGGCGGATGACGTAGGACGTATGCGTCGCGCGCCTCTGAGATATGCTAGTCTCACGAGTTTGTTTACAGGAGCAGAGGAAGCAAAGTTTCCTTACTTCAGCAAAGGAAAACCAGTCTCTTGGCTTATATCGAAGTCCTCTGACATTTTTCTTTACACATCCTTGGTTTGTACTTCTAATTCGTGACCGGCGTTTTGTTTTGTTCTCCCTCCGCGTTCGTCACTAATCACGCAACGCCGACGTCCTACTCATCCGCCGGAACAACTTCCGCTTATGACAGTTAGATGAAGTGAGAGAGAAGTGTTTATTACGTTTGAAATATGGATATTTTTCTTACAAAACCGCATGGATTCGCAACAGGAGGCCTTTATTCCCGCCCCGGAGCCGTGTGAGGCACGTTTTATTATGGATGCGCGCGCTTTATTTGACGTGTTTTGGACTGTTCAACAGAAACACCCGTCCACTGCAATGATAATGCTTGGAAGAGCCAGGACAATTTTTAATATAACTCTGATTGGATTTGTGGGAAAGAAGAAAGTCATATACACCTAGGATGCCTCGAGGGCGAGTAAAACACAGGCTAATTTTCATTTTTGGGTGAACTAACCCTTTAAGTAAAGATCATGTTCCATGAAAATAGTTTGTAAATTTCCTACCGTAAATATATCAAAACTTAATTTTTGACTAGTAATATGCATTGTTAAGAACTTCATTTGGACAACTTTAAAGGCAATTTTCTCAATATTTAGATTTTTTTTTTTTGCACCCTCAGATTCCAGACTTGCAAATAGTTGCATCTCGGCCAAATATTGTCCTATCCTAACAAACCATACATCAATGGAGAGCTTATTTATTCAGATGATGTATAAATCTCAATTTCAAAAAATTGACCCTTATGACTGGTTTTGTGCTCCAGGGTCACATATATAAATGTGGGCGGTCACATGTTAAATGTGATGTCATCACCATGGCGACAGGTTGTTTTTGTGTGTAGTCTAAGCTGCTGTGAATGAGGAGGGAGTTTAGAGTTTGATATCCGCTCGAATATCATCCAGATGTGTCTATCATCTGGTTTCATCTGGAGAGCATCCTTTCGCCCGGGGCCGAGGCGAGAGGAGACAGGCTATCAAACACTTTTTAATTAAGAGCTGGAGAACAAGGGGCCAATGCTAAATTACGCTGTCAGGGCTTTAAATGGAGCTTGTGCTTTTGCCAAGCACCGCCTCAGACTCTCAGCCAGCCGTTTTCATTATCCTGCGAAGGAAAGTGAAGGAACGGGAAAAATAGAAACTGACACAACACAAAGAGACAGGGAACAAATAACGACTTCTTGTATTTTGCAGGCATATTCTTATGGGAGACAGCATTATATTTGTCACTGTTGTCTCAAATGCACACATAAAATGTCAAAATCATTAAAAAAGTCCTTTAAAGTGGCAGTGTGATATTTCTGCTTTACTAGCATCACCTAACAGAAGTGCAGATATGAGTTTCTCATCTCAAACACACCCTCCGTCTCTCATTGGTCAGTTAAACTGATAGCCCCGCCCCAAACTCACATGATTAACCAATGAGAATTTAGAGTAACTTTATAATCATTTCACAGAACGTGGGACAAACATGGAAAATTAAGAGCACAGCAACACATGATTATATATTACACCAAAGCATATTAACATCAAACATCACACTTCATATAATATCATGAGTTTGTGATAATTATTATTGATTGTGTCTAGCAGCGATGTTTATCTGGATTCAGGAGTGAATGTTCAACAGCAGATCGATGGAGTCTCATGTGACGTATAGAGCAGAGGTGTGTGTGTGTGTGTGTGTGTGTGTGTGTGTGTGTTAATACACTAACACATCAATAATCAGATCAGATGACACTGTAATGTACATCATCTCATTGATCTCTCACTGTATGTCCTACATGTGTGTGAGAGACTAAAATAACTGTAAACTCTATAACACGCACTCATGGGTGACTGTTTCACGTGTCAAACAATTGAGCTGGTATTACAATCACCTCATGATCTGATAAACATCAGGATGCATCATGATTCAAAACTGCAATGCATGATTCTATCATAATTGCATCAAGACTGAAACTACATCAAACGAATGATAATGAGAGAACATGTTGCAATATAAGATAATAGTTTCTATCTCACTGCACAACAGAAAGTCCCTATAACAGCTTTGCTGTTTAACCCTCCTTCTGTGTTCAGGTCAATTTGACCAACATTTCTTGAAATATTGTGACTTTATCCTGGTTTAGTGTCATGAATGTACAACAGTTCAATGTGTTTTGGAAAGGCTGAGCACATTTTGGTGACTAAGACAGTGTTAGAGGTCAAACTGACTCCCACTGGTTTCCATGAAACTCGTCAAAACTCAACACCAAAACACTTTATAATAAGGTATTTAACATTAGTTAATGCATTAACTAACAATGAGAAAGGCATGTTAAGAGTATCTATTAATCTTTGATAACATTTGTTCATAAAAATAAGTTCACTGTCAGTTCTTATTTGTTCAGGTCCATTAAATAATATTAATAGATATAAAAAAAACTTGACCATCTAACACTAGCGTGCTCTATTCTTTTTCTATTCTATCTTCTTGTTTTCTTTTTATTTATTATTTAA